TGTCGAGGTGATGACACTTTTGTCGCCTTTCAACCAATGGGAATTTTCCGTTTCTGGAAACGGAAAATTCACTTTTTTTCCACAGATCTCTACAGTCCCTCTATTTTTCTCGCTGTTCACCCCTTCCCCTTTCAAGTCTCCCGTTTTGCGCTGGCGTCCAGTTCTCTCGCGATTCTATCCGCGCGTTCAACCATCGAACAAAAATACTAGAAAATAGAGGGATGTGAACAGAGAAAGGAAGGTGTTTTGTGTTACAGGAATAATATATGGTGAGAGCATTGTTTCAATTTCCCAGGAAAAACAACTGACGTAAACGAAACGCGACAAAGTACGGTGAATCTTTTAATTTTTGCAATTTGATATTCAATCTGAATCCAACGTTTTCCAATAACTCTTTCAATAAATGTTTTCAAATTTTTCTGATGATCTACATCTAGATTTATAGGAGACATTAGGTCGTTTTAAAAGTTGAGATCTAGAGATTCGCGATCGAGAAACTATTAATTCCAAAACAGCACGACATCAAAGTTTCGTTGCATTATTGGGACGTCAATCAACCTGCTTTTTCTTAAAATGCTCATACCATCTTTGATATACATGTGTAAAGGATTGGCCCGACGAGCATCGACATTGAAGAACCCTGAGCCGTTCAGAGCAGAGCTGGCGTGCATGCCTCTTAAAAATGATTACATGCGAGTTAACTCTTGCAAAATTAATCGAGAATCCAGTTAATCCTTAATTGAAGGAATATTAACAGAACAGTTAAAACTACTGTTACTTGTTTGCGGTAAGATGGCTCAAAACAGTTTCCTGTACTTTCCAAGAGTTAGATTTCGATATGTCATTATAACCACTCTTTATCAGTCATGATGTTACCACCATGGTATCAGAAAACTGCCCAATCATTGGAGAACACATTGCTGTTATTTTCGTGACACAATAGGTTACCATAGCAACAGAATGACCTGCTAAAAACACTCTTAATCTTTGCTTTAAGTACTTATTTTAAAAATGCTGCGGTGAAACCCATTTTTTTTTTATCGAATTTTGATCGGCAGGATAAAATGCAACTTTTGGCAAGGCACAAAAAAAAATCTGTACATGGGGTTCAGAGCCACCTTAAATTTTAAAAAAAATTCAAAGTGGTTCTGAACTCCATGTAGAGAATTTTTCAGACTTGGGCTTCAACGAGAAATGGGCTTCAACGAGCCGTTTCTGAGATATAAGCACTTAAAGCTAAAAGTAAGGGTGTTTTAGCAGGTCATTTGGTTGCTATAGTGTCACAAAAATGCTAACAACATGTTCACCAATGATTAAGCAGTATTTTTGTACCATGAGCGTAACATCAACTGATAAAGAGTGCTTATAATGACCCATCAAAATCTAAGTCTTGGAAAGTGCTGGAAACTGTTTTGAGCCACCTGAAAGTGGATTTTAAACATTGTCATTCACATCTCATAATTCATGTTCGTTAAATTTAACGTACATCTTGGTACATTCCCTGAAGTAGTAATATTATACTTTTAAGGATAATGTCGGTTCCTGGTTATTTAAAATAAAACCCTCACAGTTCTTAGCCAATCAGAGTGTGAGAATCCTTTAAACTTGACCTGTCGAGTTTTTACTCCCTGTTTACAATTTGTGAAATTAAATAACAATCGTTGACAACCTTCTAAGGAATACTGATAGATAAAAAAACACACCACCTTACTTCCTTAGCCAACGAGAATACGAGAATCCATTGAACTCGGCCGGATATTCTAATTACTGGATTGCAATTTGTAAAACGAAATAAAAACTGTATCCATTCAGCCTTGTAATGAATACTGACAGAGAAAAAAATTAACAGTTGCAGAAACAAAAAACAGACACTGTATGACAGTTGCTTTTTCGGACTCAAAGAAAAAGAAAAACATTTTTAGCACTGAATTAAACGTGGCCTTTATCGCTCCATTATCATGCAAATTGTATCATTGATTCTTTAAACGCGAAGGACCGCGGGGCACTTTGGTAAAGAAGATCAACACACCTTATACACCTGTTGTTTGAATATATCAATTTGAATATTAGACTTTAACACCTAGAATGTTCTATTTACAATCATAGATAGTAGAAAAACAAATTAGAACAGTTCCAATCAATTCCTAAAATTGCACATTGCCAAAGTTCTGGGCAGAAAACACGGGTTTTCGAGATGTACTCTAAGAATCAAGGAAGACTTCGAACTTGTTCGAGCGCTGGAGCTGAGTCGATATCTCGATGTGCTTATACTTTCACGATAAAAAGAAAACTAATATAAAATTAAGATGAACTTTGTTGTGCGTTGGCCATGTTGTGCTGAAGGAAGGCAACTAACTTGTCACGAAAAGAGTTTAAGGGAACAAACATAACGCCATTAAGAAATTCGCTTGTCGATTATTGTGAGGAAAAGTTTTCTTCATAAAAAACCTGGCTTGGATATAGATACATGTGTCAAGAGCAGGCAGGCAGAAATGTCATTTTGTACTCTAAGATTACAACAAAAGGATAACGTTTGGACTCTATGCACTGTTAAATATCCTTACCTCGACCTTTCTCGGGATTATCTCGGTACCTTGAAAACTAAAACTGATTTATCTACCTCTGAAGCCACGGCAATATAACGAGGCCTAGGACGGAACATCTGCTTCGAACCCTTATCATTTACGGACAGCAATTAGCATTAAGTCTTTGACAAGTACTTTAAATAAGCTACGTTATTTTTTTCCTCAGAAGGTTGGTAAAATTAAAGAGAATGCCCTGATTAAATTCAAACTCTCAAGGTTGAAAACAAAAATTTTCAAGAAGTAGTAACATATTTTGTACAAATATCGGCACCAGGGGCAACACTAAGGGTGTTTAGAAACAGATCTGGCCTACGTCATGTCTGTCTTAGTTACCTGAATTTCAGAGTGCAGGTGAATTTCTCATCTTTTCCCTGCCATCTTCCAGTCGAAGGAAATGTGAAACCTGTAGATAAACATCCAGCAGAGCTTCCGTCTTTAACTCTTTAATGAAAAATCCTTCTCAGAACTCTGTCTGCTTGTAGAGATTACAGTCAATTTCACTTGTGTTATCAGTATCAAAACCGTTAAAACTGACGAAACATCTGTTGGGATTATTGCTTGATTTCGAAAACGGCATAACCACTTAGGGTATTCGTTATGAAGTCATCAAAAGTGAGAACCACTTGCTCGGCAAAAGCCTCGATTTTAACTTGGCACATTTGTATAAGTAATATAGTAATGTTCCTGCCGAGCACTTAGACTTCAAGGCGCGCGCGGTGTTTTAAGACTTCGAACGTTCGGCTGATGACACGGAACCAACATTTTAACTTTATCGTTCCACCTCAGTGACGATTCAATTTAAGATTGAATGTTAACTGTAATTTTTTCTAAAATCTGTTTGCCGTATATTTAGAATTTCTCAGTGATGTACTGGTTATTGGACACAACACAGGCTCTTTAAACTTGCGAAAAATTAAGTTCTTACCTACACCAATAACGTCGTCGGAAGCAGCTCCCTACCAGCTTTTACCGCTCACTCTATTTTTTCTGCCCTACAATGCTTAACATTGTTTTCCAATAACAGAGAAAAAACACATTGCTTACGACAGTGCAAAAACATAAGAATATGTCGATATGCTAAGCACCCGGTCTCTGCATACCTGGTGAATAAAATACCCAATCATGTCAGGTCATTACTCAAATGAAGCTTTAAGGAGTTTTGTTGTTGAATTGAACAGTCGGACGGCAGACTTACTAATCTACGTCATGTAAGTCAATTCAAATTTAAGAATATTTGCATAAAGCAACAAAAACGAAACGTAGAGAAAAACAACGTTTATTATTCTTCGAGCAGTGGTGCAGATAATGCAATTTTAGTGACAATTCTTTACCAAGTGTTGATATTCTTGTTTTCTAACTTTTCTTGTTAAACTCGACTTTGTTTTCTACCCTGAAGACATGAAAATTAACGGAAAGAAATATTGGTTAAGAGCGAATATCTTCTCACACTATAATGGCCTTCATTGGGGCAATGTTCTTACAAAGTGTTTTGATTGGTTGAAATTATCTTTGCTGAATGGAATTGAGTGCAAATTTCTTTTCCACAAGTTTCCAAGCTTAATTATGTAGCCACAACACGAATGGCTACGATATAAAGGTTCAATTTACTGTTAGACGGTGACCAATTGAGATAAGACAATTGATTTGTGAAAACGCTATCACATGTAAAGACCTGTGATGCTTATCCTACACTGTTTTTGTATGTTATTTTCTACCTTTTCCTTTTCATAAGCTGATAATAACATCCAATCGCCATCAAACTGATAATCCAGACATTGACTCATAACAGTAGCTCCACTCCGTCTTCGGATAATAATATCAAACCACCTTTTCAGCTTATTTAAGTAAGGTTCAAGACTGCGAGTGATCAATTAGCAATGTTACTTGGTCTAATTGATTTGTCAACGTGGATTTTGCGTCAGAAATGTACCCACACCCTCATCGTGAAGAACTTGGAATGTCTTTTAAAATTATCGCCTGCAATAATTAAGATAAAAAAAGACCATTATTTCAACAGTTGACAGGCGAAATGAAATTATTTCGAATTTAAGCGAATAAGCTGCGAACCTTAATTTCAGCTGGATCGTTGTGTGTGTGAAAAGAGAAGTATGTATGAGTGAGATAGTAGGCTTATAGCTGGATAGACAAGCCACAACAGCAACAATAAGAATGTAAGCAGTACAGTGGCTCTTCACGTGCATTATTCATTATTAAGATAAATGTATATCTCTTTTTGACGTAGTCGAGCTTTACAAAAAGACAACTTAAGAACTCCAAAGTTTGCGGCCTATTTTTGGGAACGTAAATCGAGAGGATCAATTGTACGTCATATTTATATTTAGATTTAAACGCTATCTTCGATATTCAGTCGAGTTCAGACATGGAGGCTGATCACCTATTGAAAGTTGGGTTGGCCTATCTAACAATACTAATCATCTAAAAGTGACATGACAGATTTATTTCTAAGCTGGCATTAGGCTCGACTATGGAGGGCCATAGAGTCCCACATTCTCGTCCTTAGAGGCCGCAATCCTTTTGGTCAGCAACAAGAATCGCGACCTCTGACGGCTTCAACACCGGAAGTCCGCGATTCTCAGGAACGAAATATGTACACCGACGTCCGCTTCAGACCGTGATTATTATTTATTTAATTATTGGGGTTGTTTTCAGGTTAACAGTAAGCGCCAGCGAGATCGATCAGGAAGAATTTGCAAGAGTGGGGCATAGCCAAGTCTTAGTAAAATTTGTAATGCATACGGCAAACTGATCATCCGTTTAACTCATATGATCTCATATGGAATCACTCATGTTCAGCTACCTGATATTGATAATAGAGAGCACTTAACGAAGTTCTTGTTTCGCACGCATTCTCACTCCCACCAACGAGATGAAACGTTTCAGTTTTAGGATTGCAGGTTTTCGTTTTTGACAAAAAGTGAACAATACACGTGAAAAAAGGTCAAGGGGCCACTTTATATTCCGCAAGTGACCGTTTTGAAAATGCTCTCAGGATTCCCCCGCTTTACTTTACTGATTCGTTTCAGTTTCGACCGACGCGTAGCGGAAGTTATCAGAGTGCTTTTTGAGCTTTGAATTTAGTCTAAATTCAGTTGTCGTAAGCTCTGTTACAGGGTAATAACTAGAACGTTTCGGCTGCCGCCGTGCGCCAAATACAACAAATTTTACTAAATAAAAATAAACAACATTCTAAACTACCAGAAAATTATATCTTTAGAAATAGTTCACCTAGGCGTTTATTCTTGCGAAGTGCAGGAAATCTTGCTTAACCGTAGTCGGTCCTTACAGCAAGCTGATCTTAAACAACTACAAAGTTTTGTAATTGAAACATAAACATACTGGCGCAAGGAAACCGATCGTTTAATTGCAAGCTTCGTACACCCCAGCATCACTGACCTAATATAGCGCTGTCAACTGTTATGACCAATCAATTTGCTTTCTTTCATAATTATTCGGTTACTCCGTTAGTCCATTACGTAAATAACTATAATTGCGGAAAATACAGGAAAAACAAGTTCATTGTCCTCGCAGCCAATAATCGAGACGCCCGTGATAACTTCTAGGGAGTGTCTGACCGATTATTTTACTGCTGGCAATAACCCTCTGAGGCTACGAGCTTACTAAGATAAGTAGGAAAGGTATATCCAAACAATGGCTGAAGAATCAGGTAAGTACCTTTGCATCATTTCAAACATTGGCATGGATCTGTTAGTTGATGTTATTAGTTTGTTGCAACAGAGATGGTGAAGCTTTCGGTTTCATAGGTCAATAATCCAGCTATCAGTGATATGCACAGTTATTTCAACAGACTATTGCTTGAGCTCATCATCATGAAAATCATTTTACTATTACTCCTTCTTCGCACTAAAAGTCAGTTTGGATTGATCTGTATAAAAATGTTCTTCAAAACGTAATGAAGAGTCAGCACTGAAAAACACAATCAGCATCGTTACGTTACGGGTAATCTTCCTCTTCCCAGGGATTTTCTTCCTTCTCTCTGCTACTGAAGTGAAAAAGCCGTCACTGCTTTCTGTTAAGGGAAATTATAAGTTACAATGAGGTTAACATTCAACTTGATTGCAAAAATACAGAAATAAGATTTGCAGTATAGCTGGCGTCAAAATCTCACTAGTTTTGAAAGCTCGGGTTCGACTATTCCTTCTCGGTCGCTAGAACCTCTAGCTTCCAAAACCAGTGTAATCCATGATCTAAGACGACGATTTATTACTACTCTGCCTGCCTCAATCTCGAGCGTGCAAATGAGGTGGGATATTTCGACGCCGATTAAAAAATCCTGTCCGCCTTCGGTCTACCAATCACCGCCCCTGCGCCAAAAAAAGCTCCAAAGGGGAGCCCCTAGCGAGGCCCAGTAACCTATCAGAGGAACACACACCTTTAGCAAATATCGTGTGCAGTGATAGCAAGGTCAACGTCAGAGAAACTGAAAAGAAGATTACATTTGCGTTGGCTCGCTGCTGTGGAGCAAAACGGAGTTGTTACACAGTGGAACCTCGATTTAACGAAGTCGCTGGGGACCGGCCAAATTTGTTCGTTAAATCGAGGGTTCGTTATATGGAAAACCTCGATATAACGAATTTGAGGGGAAACGACCAAAATGTTCGTTATATCGAGGTCATAGTTAATGATTGATTTGTAACACAGGTGACTTCTGTCACGRAATTCAATGCAATTTTCGTCACCCAGAAGTGCCGCGTTTTGAGATGCAATTCATTAAGCATGGTGGCTTTCAATATCAATTATTTTCACTTTTGAGCAGACGCGCAGCTTTTGTTTACAAAAGAACGACACTTTCAGAGTAGCAATTTAATAATGTTGCAACATAGAGGTTATACAGAAATTGTCTATGTAAACAAGGAAACATTATAATTCGTTAATTATATCGAGGTAGATTTTACGTTTGGGCTTCCGGATTAGGTTCGTTATATCGAAGAATTCGTTATATAGAGGTTCGTTATATCGAGGTTCTATTCCATACATTTTCCTGTAACTTTGGCCGGGACGTAGAATATCGTTCGTTATATCGAAGACTTGGTTAAATGGAGGTTCGTTAAATCGAGGTTCCACTGTAGTGCGGAGACCACATAAAAAGAGTTGTACAGTTTAGCGGATTCCAATAGAATATTCTAACGAATGATCACATCTCCCGCTTAATTGGAGCCACGATAGAAGGATAACAAAACAAACTTCAAAGCCCGCAAAACTTGAAAGTTTCATACGTTGGGAAGCTGATGTACAGTTAAATTCTCGAAAAAACTTCAAATGTTATATGTCCGACATATGCCTCCCCTATTCATATGTAGACAGTCCATTAAAAAGAAAAGAATCACATGAAACAACACTACCATTGCCTTCAAAAAGCAATATATAAAAAAGCCCCAGAAGTTTTAAATAGAGATGATTCATGAAATTCCGAAGTGTACCAACTTTTTCGTTTTCACAAAAATCGATGCGTTTCAGTGTTGTTTATGGAATGTGAACAAAACAGTGGGTTAGACGACAAGTCAAGCGTAACGGGATTTTTCCCTGAAGTCATTAAGGGAAAACCCTGGGTTAGTTTTCTGTAAAGAAATGGAATATTTGCTTGCGAATAGAATTTTTATGTTTTTCCCCACTTGGATCATTGTATTATTTTATAGTTATGGATTTCTGTGGGTGGCGTGTAACAACGCGTGTCACGTGCGGTAGGGATTAGAGAAATGTAAATGCGTTACATCCCATCCTAGCAATATTCTTGCTTAAAATCGGTCTTCTGATCGTGTGAAGACGTTTCTATTTAAATTCCCACCTCCTCCCCTTACCCTGTCCACGTTTTTCTACTTTTAGGACGATTGAAAACCGTTTGGCGATAGGTTTTGGCGGCCCTCACCTTTACTAGTCAAAAATATTTCTAACAAATTGTAATAGCGGAGCACCGATGGCCCTTGCGCCAACAAGCGGAGTACCATAACCATAGGAACAGAACCACATGCATGCATAGAAAAAGAAACCTGTGCATCTCCTTTTTCACGGTCAACAGCATGGAGGACCTCACGCTGAACACAATGGCCATACTCCAGGTAATAGGTCGACGGAGGCATGCAGTCACAGTCACGGCATGGACGACGTCACGCAACACAAAATAGCCATACTCCAGCCAATAGGTCAACTGAGGCACGCAGACGTGGTTTACGGCGTACATCAGTTCGTTATATATATATTTTTTTAACTTGAAGAATGATGTTGTTGAATTCACTGTCAGTTGTCAGCGAGCGCTTTCGATAGGACAGTTGAACAAACCAATCAAATTGATGTGCGGGGTTGTTAAATAATCTACCAATCAGAGGCCAAGGGTCAGATCTTGACCCGGCTATTTCCAGCGTGGAAGTGGGATTTGTGCATACTGGAACCAGAGTTCTTCTCACTCGTCGCTTGTTTTCGCCGCTTCGTGGCTCACATCTAACCTAGAATAAAAAAGGGAAAACCTTTGGAACCAGTGTAAAACGGTCGCTGTGCCGTTACTTACATAGATGAGTGAGGCAGGAAAACGGTATTGGATAGGCTTGCATTCAAATTGTTATTGTTTTTTGAGCAATCTAACCTGAAATGATAACATTAAAAACTTGAAATAGGCCAAGCACTAATAAGCATAATATTTTTTTCGAGATTTCTCTAAGAATTAAGAAGGAATCCACCACAAGTTTGAGTAACAAGCCAAAAACTTTGTACCGAGATTATTCACCTTGTATTGCAAACTTCTGTTTGACTGTTTTCGATATATTCTCAGAAGCAATAATTTCTAACAACACTAAATGTCGAAAACAAATTCTGAAGTTCATATGAAACATTTACACTTGAAAGTACTGGTGAAATCAACCTGATGATGAAATTTTACCTGTGTTTGCACATTTATCTTAACTTTGAAATTTTTCTCTGGAGTTCCTATGGGAAATTGTTTTGAGTGTTATTTTAGGCCCTCTTTACATGTATATCTTTAGCTTTTAGAAAATGCAAAAGAACTGTAATATACTTAAAATTATCTCGGTACAAGGGTTTGTCCATTAAAAACTGAATTTGCTCGATTTCCTGTCGGATTTCATCTCAACACTGAGTACATTATCAGATTTATGGCTGTACGATATACGGAACTGTGACAAAATGCACTGTCTCAGTTCCAAGAAAACAAACATTGTAAACTTCCTGTCTCCAAATTTAATTTAGTCATTGAGTTAAGCCACACTGTGGGAAAAGAAAGGAAACCAAAATTGTTTGAGATAAACTACCAAGAAGTAAGAACTTAGAAACTGAGTATAACATAGGGCCGCAATGCGTACTTGTGTTATGTTCAGTTTTATCCTATTCAATAGTCAGAGTATTATTTTTGAATGTCAAAATATGGTAGTTAAAGTGCCACAAGCAAGAAGAGAATCACATAGGCCAAATACTAATTAACACAATGTTATTTCTCGGTATTTCTATTATCATTGACACTGAGTATATTATCGTCAGAGTGTTTTTCTTCAATATCAGGATATGGGAATTAAAGTGCTACAAGTGAGTAGGCAATCACTAGAAAGAAAAACTTTGAAAAATGAGTAAATAAGGCAATAAAGATTTTAAGATGATTGTTATCAACAAAACAAGTCACTTAAATAAGGTAAATAAATAAATTGACCGCTCTCCAGTGGGGTTTTTCAGGACCAGTGTCAACACATTCTGAAACAAGTATTTAAAATAATCATAACATAATTAAAAACCCCAACTGGCACGAGGTAGATCGGTTGGCTATTTAGAAAGCATAACCGAAGAGTTTTAACTGAGGCCACCGAAATCAAATCCAGTCAGTGGCAAGGGGGAAGACTTGAACCCAGGACCCGTGGATTACAAAACCAGCGCCCTAAACCACTCGCCCAGGATACCTGCATTTGTCCCTTTTATTGAAAACTCTTTATTGACAACAGAAGCCTGCAATAACATATGAGAAAATAACTTGTTACATAAGCTTGTTATATAACGAAGTCAGCAAATGCGAACTTACCATATGTGTTAGCCCCAAATTGACATCTTGACAGTGTTGTTGAATTCCACGAAAGCTTATTTTGCCATGATTGTAAGGAATTGTTGACATGTTGAATAGCAGTAATCAATTTGATCGTGCAGTAATAAGATAATACTAGATGTTATACACTTTTAATGTGTAATGCAGCAAGAAGAAAGCAACACTTTTTGATACATTTGTCGTATTAAATGCTTCTTCTGATAGATTCTTTAAAGAGTACATGTATTAGATGATAAGTGGGCAGTAGTTTGCATAATATTTTCTGGAGAGAAGAGTGCATTCATGTTTGTTTCTGGAATCAATCTGAATTTTCAGGTGGCTGTGGTCAGACGGCACAAAGAGTTGCGTGATAGCTCAACTTCTTAATGAAAAGTATCAAGTTCATTTATTTAACAATTAGATTATGACCTCGAGATTTCTATCGCGCGATAGTTGACGAGGGCGCAGCCCAAGTCATTTATCTAGCATAGAAATCGAAAGCGAATAATCTAATTGTTTTAGTACTAGTCGTTTAAAGGATATTATTATGCGTCATCAATGTCGTAAAAGTTTCTGATCTTATTGCATCATTTTTCTTCAGCTCCGCAGGCAGGAAGAGAGAGCGAAGCCAAAGCATTCTTTCGCAAAGTTATCTCTCCTTTTGTTGACGGCACGTTGGACAGTGAACTGTTGGAGCCGCTTATGGTGCATTTCATAAAAGATGAAATGCAAAAGAAGAACGCTCATGGAAGCCCATTTTTGCGAGCAGAACAAACCCTTAAACCGGTTTCGTCCGTGGAAGAAGTCCAACAAGCCATTCTCAAGGCCAAAAGCGAAAAGAAGGTTCTTCGTGTTGCTGGATCAGAACATTCTGTGCACGACTCTATTTTCCCCAAGGATGGCGTTACCCTGCTTTTGACAAAAGAGCTGCGTAAAGTGGAAATACTGAAGATAGAAGAGAAGTGTGACAAGAAATGGCTGTACTGTCGTATTGGAGGAGGCTGCTACCTGGGTAAGAATCCCCTGGATCCTACATCCGACATACAAAGCTCCGCTTGTTATCAGGTGGCTGTCCAAGGGTTCGGCTTTCCTGAGTTAGGTGGCATTATCCACCAGTCTGTTGGCGGCTTTATCTCGACAGGCTCTGCAGGTGGAAGCTTGCAGCACAGCTTTGATGACGTAATCCAAGAGATCGAGTTCGTTGATGGAAATGGTCGTCTTCAGACGGCAAAGCCTGGTACAGACCTTTGGTGTGCGGTCGGCGTTTCCATGGGGCTGTTTGGAGTCATAACCCATGTATCATTCCGCCTTCCTGAGATGAAGTTTGTTGAAGGCTCAGAGTCAAATCATAGGTTTGCTGACTCGATGCTTGGACCCAACGTGCAGGGACAGAGCAAACTGAAGGAAAACCTTGAGAAGCACGAATACATGCGAGTTAACTGGTTCCCCCAGAAGGAAGTGATGCGCGTTCAGGAATGGGTTGGAAAGCAGTCTTTTACTGCTGGAGACGTTGTGCCTTACAACTCCATCTTATCCAACATCTTTGCAGCAGGTATGGCGGCCATAGCCCTGGCTATCTGCAATTTCCTTCTGCAAAAGCCAAAACCGACGGATACCGATTACGAAATCATCGGTGACATTCTGCGTCCATTTGTGCCCCTGAATAAGAAACCAGTCAGCTTCCGCGACATATGGTTTGAGACTTTGCCCATGGACAACGAGGCCCACACAGATTCTATCATCAGAGTACATTTCACAGAGATTTGGGTTCCACTCAACCAATGCCAAACCATCATGGACAGACTCCAGGAACTTTTTAAGAATCAGAAAGCCGCTAACAACTTTGCCACCGAGATCTATGGCGCCAAAAAGTCTCCGTTCTGGCTGAGTATGTCATATGATCAAGATATGGTGCGAGTTGATCCTTACTGGTGGGCGTTCAACAAGGGTGACCCCAGAGTGTTCTTCTCATACTTTTGGGATGTTTTGCTGGATATTCCTGGAGCCCGTCTGCACTGGGGTAAGTACCTTCCTCTGCCGAGTCAGAAATGCGGGAAGACAACATTCAACTCGGAATATCTGAAGAGCGTGTACCCTAAGATGAATGAATGGTTGAAGTTGCGACAAGAGATGGATCCAGGTCAGGTGTTTGTGACCGAATACTGGCGTGGTGTCCTCGACATTAAAGCTATCAGTCAGTTATCAATCGCAATATGAACTGAACTAAGTAAACTGAACTGAACCCATTACTACTTTTTTGTAAGAGGTTGTAGGGCTTTAGAGGAGAAAGTTCCTGATGAAAATAGATTGTAGTAGTATAATTAACAATTAATTGCTAATGATTTGATCTATTAAGGGCTTTGTACTTTTGTGTAAACACATGTTTACCCTGAATGCCGTGATATGCTTTTTTTCAATCTGAGAAGGAAGATCTCGATTCGTATGGGTAATCGCACGAGGCCGAGTAAAATTAAGGATTATAATTTCACTTGCCGTTTTCGGAAGTTTCGGAAATGACTGCGGAAATTGCCATGTGGCAAACTACTTCGGATTAACCAGTCGAGGTTTGACCCATAGCCCTCCTTGCCTTGTTGTTGTAGGACCTTTAGCGAACGTAAGGCATTCAATTCCATCGTCGTCCCGGTGTTGGGCCAGCAACCACCACATCGTTGTAATAAGGGCTTGCGGATTTCCACTTCCAAGCTGACCACTTTTCCATCTTCCAAAGGGTTTGTTCTTTTTTGTTTGTTAAACTTTTGGCTCGGTTCGGACGTTTTCCTCTCCCTTCTCTTATCTTTCGCGCTTTCCCTTCCAGGACTTTTCTTGAACCAAGGAAGGCTCTATGTTTGGTAATAGATTTCGGGTATAATTTTGAGTTTGAGTGTCGCTCCAAGACTGCTTGCATGACTTTGAATGAATTGGGCTTTTGGAACCTCTGCATCAAACTGCGACAATGTCTTGTCAAGGTGCTTCTTAATTTTTTTCATTTTCTTTTTCAGTCGCCCACTTCACGAAAACGTATTTCCATTATATTATTTCCTTATGGTAGAGCAACACAAAACCTTAAATTCTAAAACTGCCTAAGGTCAACACCTCAATCTACGGACTGAAAGCGTGGCGTTACCTAGCGCTACAGCTATGGAACCTGCTACTAGTTTCATATAGAACTATTAGAACTTTAAAAAGGCGGTATCAAGAAAATTGATCTTTTGGTCCTTTTAACCTAACTTACTACTTATTGTTATCTTATTTCAGTACATAAGAAGCTATAAGATTATCGTTTTTACTTTTTAGCATAACGTGTAGATTATTTTAGATTGCCTTTTATCTGACTTCTACTTTTTTAAAATTTTCACTTATATATTACATTTACTTTTAATTCGTGTGAAATACCTGCAAATTAGTTGGTGTGCCATTTTATCTTTCATGTGATGTCACGCCTCGCATATAGCTAAGTGTATAACACAATAAATTTCTATTGTATTGTATTGTATTGTACAGGCAGACTTTTTTACTTGAGATCGCAGTCTATTCGAAAATTGCCTACAGTGGGGAAATCTTTTAATTTTGCTCTAACTGGAAGTCGTCATCAAATGTATCTGCCAGAGACAAATCATGCGACGTTACTTTTTGTGAAGTAACGTAATTGCAGTTCTCCGTGCCTATAACATGAAGTTATTTGCTGAAACTACAGTTTCGTGTCTTGGACGCTTTGTTCGTCATCAGAAATTTCTAAAGCCGAGTTGTTGAAAGACAAGTTCAAAAGTGTTTTCGTTTCCTGTCTATTGAACGTTTTTAAGAGTATCGCTACACTGGTCGATCCTGGGAGAGGGGAGGGGCACGGCGAAAGGCTTCCAAACTGATTACTCGCTCCACTAGTAGACAAAACTGGTGAGGACTGCATTTCAAGACGTGTACTTCTACTTTTCTCTCTTAAGCTCCTGAAGGTAAGGGAGCCATGAAGCACAACCGCGCTTCGCTTTGGTCGGGCTTTTCTATCAGTAGTAAGGTTTTCTGAAATTCCACTGGCGTAATTTATGTTTGTAACCCTGCAACAGCAAACGTACCGGAAATATAGAAGATATCCACGACGATACTGACGAGTGAAAGACCCGTATACAATGGGATTTACACATGCGTGAAGGAATATTAGCGCTTCTGCGCTGGTCCAAAAAGCGTGGGAGAGCTCCTTGTATGAAGCACCACCAAAATCAAATAGCATCCAAGCAATTTGATTGGGCAACATACAGGCCATGAACAGAACCACAATAACAGCCAATGTTCGTATGATCTGAACATTTTCACTTCTCGTTTTATGTCTGATAACTTCTCCGTGAGAGTTTTGTGAAGTGAGCATTGGTATCTGAGATGTTACAAGACAAACGGCAATTCTCAGGTACGCTATGGCGATTACAATCAAAGGGATGGCGTACTGGAGTGCGAATAACACTGCAGTGTAGGCTTGCCTGTAATATTCTTCGGGCCATGCTTCAAAACACAGTACTTTATCTGGCCGCGTTACGATCATTAACGGAAACATAGTGACTAAAGCGCATATCCATATCACCAGAATCCAAACCAAGGTAGCTTGCAGCTTAATTCTCGGTTGTAGTGGATTGATGATTCCTCGGCACCGTTCAACTGCCATGGACGCTAGGGTGAAAACACTGACAGAAAGGGTGATTGACATCATGGGCCAAATGAGTTTGCAGTAAAAGGCGTTCTTGTAGAATTCTTGAAAAAGCTCATACGTGTAGAAAGGAAGAGAAAACCACAAGAATGTCAAGTCCGAAACTGCTAAGTTTAAAATGAAATAATCATTTATAGTTCGTTTACGTTTTCCTTTTACGACCACAATGACCATGAGGTTCCCCAAAGAACCAAGAATGAACAGACAGCAGTAAAATACAGTCTTAAAGTTCCGTTCAGCTCCGCTCAAACTCGTTGTTCCTTCTTCAGTCTCATTGTTACTTGTCGAGTTGTCAACAGATTCACTCATCTCCAGGGATAACAGTTCAAAGTGAGCAAAACGGGACATTCTGTTCGTATATCACTTCTGCGTTCTCTCAGTAGCTGATTTGGAACAGGCAGCTATCAGTTCTGAGGCCCGTACTAGAAACCTGAAAGTCTGGCTGGCTCAGCTCAAGAACCTCTGCTCTTATCTCAAGGATTTTCTTTTGAGACACAAAGAAAATTAACCATTAAGAGTGGCTGCCTGTAAAAATCAGACAAATTCTTGATTTCGCGGCAAGGGTCGAAAATTCGATTTCGCTCATATTCTTATGGTAGATGGGCTAGGGCATGACAAAA